TTTATGTTTTTTGAATTTAAAATTAAATAAAGAATAAAATTATATATACCAATTGGTATACCAATTAATTTACTAATAGATAATGTAGCATGATCTTAGAGGTTTTATACTTTGTAATTTGTATAATGAGTGAGGTTCATAAATTTGAAATGATAATGTCATAATATATGATGTTGGTACACTAATTAGTATATCAATTAGTGCGTGTAGTAAAACTATTAAATAAATCATGTACCAACAAATTTCCTTATCAAATTACGGTAAAACTTGATTATCAATTCAATTTTTTTGGGCGTCCCCACATAAATATATATATATATATATATAAACAGGAAAGATTTTAAGAGATAAAAGTGTAGGCTTGCAGAAAACAAATTTATAGAATGGAGAAAACTGTAATAAGAAGGAACTATAGAATTCTCAAGAAAGGTCAGTTTAAGAAGAAAAAAATAAAATAAAGCAAGTTTGAGAGAAAGAAACATAATTCAAAACCCACGAGGTTCACGTTCCTTTCACATGCTTTGTGACTTTCAACAAACCTTTTTCATGATAGAAAAAATTGCACAAAACATAGATAAGGGTTTGTGTAACTTTTAACAAAACTTTTCATAACCACATAAAAATAAAAATTTTAAAAAATCATAGAATATAAATAAGTGATTGTAAAATTTCTCGTCCGTTAAATTTTGCACTTATTGAGTAATTTTAAGTTAAAAATTGATCATCAAAAAGCAAAAATCAAAAATCAACAACACTAATTCTCTAGATTTCAAATAATTAACTTTTCAACTTATTTAAGTTATTTATGCAAAATAAAAGCTAAGGACAAGCTCAACCAAATAGTTTGACATAAACTCTCAAAATTAAAAATAAGAAGAAGAAGCTATGAACAACTCATAAACTGCATAAAATAGCTCCTTTGCAAGCTATGTTTGATGTTTATTAAGACCATTAATTTAGAGAAAAAAACATTGTTATGGTTATTAAGATATTACACTACATACATGTAATTCCCGAATGTTTTAAAAATTTCCAGTGTAATTACAAGCATTTTTTTTTTTTTTTAT